AGTTCTTCTGTGAAGAAATCCCTCCAGGTGCAGGATCTCCTTCTCTTGTTTTTTTTTTACGTTAACCAGGTTTATGCCGACTTTACCAAAGTGAGCAATTGTTTTACTATGCCAGCCCAAATTGAATGTTACATGCTATAATGTTGGTAACAAGCACATCTGAAATAAACTTTGAAACCATGATGGTGGTTTGGTGTGCCGTTAGGCAGCCCTGCTAACAATACATCACATTTATCATGGATTGTCCTACAAATACAGTTTAGTTGGTGGATTATATGAATGCTGAAAGCACTTTTAGCCCATTTTAATTACAATATATATAATAACACTTAGATGGTGATTGTGATTTTTTTCATTTAAGGCAAAAACAAAAATTGCAGTTTGACTAACAGCTGGGGTGTGGCTCTAATGTAACATTAGCTAAAGCTCACGGACCAAAAGCTGATTTATAACATTGTAACAGAACCAGATAGTGATAGTTTTCACTCGTATGTGACTTTGTAAAAAAGTGTAAAAAAGTGAATACAAACTTTTTATTTGACTTGACCTTTCCCTTTATGAACAAGGATGATGCACTGCTTCATGAGTAGTAGGGTGCCAACAGGAGACGACACAGCGGCTGGGTAGATGTGGGAGAAGAGCAGGGACGGTCTTTTCTCTAATGTGTCAATCATCGCTCTGGGTGACCCAACCGCTAACCCAGCAGCTGGGTTACACAAAAACTACCCAGCAAAATGTCCCAACAGCCTCAACCCCGCTTTTGGGTAGAAAAAAAAAAAAAAAAAAATTAGTGTGTAGGCTGCAGCTGTTACTACAATGTGTCAGATACATATCACCATGTAGGTCAATGTACCTGGTCAGACTCTGTATGAGAAGATGACCAATGTAAAAGGGCTTTGATTGGGACCTTCCTAGTAGCTAGCAATTTATCTTACTAGCTAGCTAACAAGCTAGTATACAACAGATTATGTCAACAGAAGCAAAGTTCTGTGGAAATAAATAAATATTTTTTTAGATTTCGGATACAGATCACATTCCTTTATGTTTTACATTCTAGGGTTTCTTTCATATGACACAATTATGTCCATAGTCAGCTGAAAGCAAACATAATAGTTCATCAGCTTGCAAGTGCTATTATCACAGCCACAATAACTTAGTCTTCAATATGACCTTTGATCGTTCATTCCCGATTCCCGAAATGATATGTATTTTTCTCTATAAACACATATGTATATATTTTTCATCACTGGCAGGTGAAGTGGTGCCACACACACAACTTTAGCATCTGTAAAAGGCACTGCCTTGCATTTTGTTTACCTCTTGGACATCTGGCTCTTTGCCTCTTCCGAGTATTCCTTCTTATTACAGAAATTTGCAATAAGTTGTAATCAATACATACAGCTGACAATGGGTAGAGGAAGTATATAAATATTGTTTATATACAGAGCGACAAAAGGAATTTCACTTACAATTTTAGGGGAGATTTTGGATACAGTGACTATGTTTACATGCACATTAATTTCCCACTATTATTAAGAATATGACAGTATTCCACATTTTATGAGGGTGATGTAAGCAGTATATTCCATTTGGATATTCAGTAACCCTTCCTTTTACAGTCCCCTAATTACCAGGTATTTACCAGGTAAATATATGGTAATTCATAGCATCTTCTTGTGTAATTACCAACCAGTATAAGAAGGTAAATACATGGAAACTACAGCTGAAGTACAAAGTATTTATCTGGTAAAATATTTTACAGTGCACTGATTACCAGGTAGTAACCGGGTAAAACATAGAATGTTCTTGCGTAATTTACACTAGTAAAAGAAGGTCAATACAGGGAAACTACAGTCAAAGTACAAAGTATTTACCTGGTAAAATATACTGAAATTACAGTGTATTATTGGGTAATTACTGCTGGTAACAAGTAAGTTAATACTGAGAAACTACAACTGAAACACGAAGAAAAAAATCTCCACTACTGCCCATCTTTTCAACTGAGTACCATGTAGTTAACAGGTTTAGGTTGGTAATTACTCAGATATAATTGTATAAAATATGGAATTGTTTCTATTTAAGTTGAACATTTTTTCCCGTATTTACCTGTTATCATCCTCTGCAGGAATGGTTTTCCTCTGCTGCCGTGGCCCAGTATATCTTCTTAAATATTGGGTACGTTCTTGCATATGGTTTTAGAACTTACCCAACATGTACGCTGAAACTGTACTGTAAAAGGAAGCCTTGCTTGTTTCCATGCTATTAACAGGATCTTGCTATACAATTTGTAATAGATTACTCCCTTTTCCATGCAATCAACACAAACTTGAACCACATATGTTCCTGGACATTATCAAGTAAAACATGTCAAATTATCCAGTAAGTAAGCTGAACCTGTACTGTAAAAGGAAGCCTTGCTTGTTTCCATGCTATTACAATGTTCTTACTAAATCCTTTGTAATAAAACATTCCGTTGTCTATACAGTTAAATGAATTTGTACAATATAAGTTCCACAATATTACTAAGTAAAACATGTCAAATTACCCAGTTAGTAAGATGAAAATGCACTGTAAAAGGAAGCCTTGCTTGTTTCCATTCTATTAACAGGCTCTTGCTATACAATTTGTAATAGATTATGCCCTTTTCCATGCAATCAACACAAAGTTGAACCTTAAAAGTTCCACAACATTACTAAGTAAAACATGCCAAATTACCCAGTGAGTAAGATGCAACTGTACCACACAAAAAGGAATGTTTAATACCAAGATATAACAAAGGCACAGTGGAAAGTAACAAATTGTGCTAAAGTTTACATGGTTGCAACCATGAACAATCAATAACAATTAAGAAATTAATATAAGGTTAGAAGTTGTACCTTGTGTAATTTATGAGATCATGCTTTTTTCAGTTTTTGAAACAAGAGAAAGGATTGGAAGGTTGTTACACTTTGTAACATGCTCTTATGTCTTATGCTCCTTTCCAAGCCAGTGGTTCCATTCTATGAACCGTAAGTTCATTTTTAAGGCCATCTCTGTCAGGTTTCTCCTGTATCTGTAGATGCCTTCTTTGAAACTTTGCCATGCCCGTTCAATGTGCTGTGTGTGAGCACCACTTCCAGGGTGTACAAAATGTCCTATGGTGATTCACCTGATAGTGAATGTATCCTTCACGTGACAATCTGTTGTAGGCACGCCAGGAATCACTAATCACCTCACTTCCAGGTCTGATATATTTTCGGATTATTGCAAGTAATTGCATCCTGGATCGATTTTCCACCAGCTTTAAGACAGGACGTCTACGGGACCTCTTCACTTCCAGCATTCCAAAGACCCACGAGCGTCTTCGCCAGGTAGGTCCATGTCGTCCACGTCCATACTGAAAATAAGCAAAATGTCATGCTTTTATGAAATTCATCTGAAATTATAGTTAGACTCACTTCAGGGCTGTCTGATTCACCCCCATGTGCTACCTGGCATATGACATTTCATAGGGCTAGTGTCCAAATCCAAATTTTTAGGTGTCATATTTTTCTAAGCAGACTTAATTATATGTATTTGTATGCTATGCAATAGACATATGTAATGCAGTATTACCAGCAGCATTGAGGCTGATCAACAGGACCTGATTCTAATCTTAGATTAATATAGATAAATTTGGGTGGAGTATTTTACTCTATGAAAACCTGTTTCCAATGTATTTATAGTACTGTAGTAATTCAGATGTACTGTACTTTCACAACAGAAATGACTATTTTACTTACATAAACAAACCTTACCTTCTGTTTGTGTCTGAATTTACTCTCATCTATTGCTACAAAAGCTCTCCTCCCTCCAATTCTCATTTTCCGTCTTCTTTCCAGTCACCTAACTGCTTCACCACAGATTTCTCGCAACAGCGTAGTTACTCTGGTCAGTGATTTGCTGCTTCCACATACTCCATCCTCTATCATGTCTACTTGTCTCTTCCTCAAGTCCTGTGACAAACTGAGACAAAAATGACTAAATATGACAACTATCAACATATCATCAATTGGGTTTTTCTGAAACACTTAAACACAACAGTGTAAGACAGACACAGAGAGAGAGAGAGAGAACCTAACCTGTGCATAAGTTTCATCCATGATGGTAATGGAATATGTGATCTGGAGAAAACTGAGCCCTCTCTGATGGACCTCGTAATGGCCCTGCCCTTGTGAGTTCTTCTTCTACAGCACCTGTACATAACAGTTTGTCATAGTATCGCCATGGTTACACTTATATATATTTTTATACTAAAAAAATTATAATGTTAAATGAATAAATAAACAAACAAATAAATAAATAAATAAACCTACATAAAGATAGCTCACATAAGTTAATTTTGTCTTCTTTCTTTCACTATTATAGTCTGATATAAAAGAAACAATAGCTAGAGTAAAATCTACATGAAGATAATCTGTTAAGATTTGATCAATTTAAATGTTACAATATAATATAATGGCATATTGATCCTTACTTACCACCTATATCCATCCTTGGTTGTGTTGGTTCTTTTGAATTTCATTCTGTTGTTGCACACAGGGCATCGTTTCTTCCTTGCCAACAACCTCTCCGTCTGCATCCATCTTATTAACTTTTTACCCCCTTGCGCTGTCTTCTTAATTAATGTTCTTGTCAATGTCATATTATATTAGGCCTACTGAAATATTCACACATTAAGTGCTCTGTGCGGGCATTGTTCTTCTTCTTTGCTTTTTTATGGCAGGGGGGCACCAGCTTTCCGGGTGTATAACCGCCACCTGCGCGGGCATTTTTGTACAAATTTCCACCTGATCTCTAGGAACATACCATTCTGAACTTGGTGTTAGGGGGAGGGGGAGTAGGATAGCGCAAAAACAGATAGTGTTAAATCATTAGATCGCGGTAATACCAAGTACACGTTTACTGTTAATACGCAACTACTCTTACCAACTGTTTAATGCCATTTAATGGACTATTCCATTCATTGGCTCCCCCCATAGTGGGTCGCCAGGTAGAAAGAGAAGGCGCCGGCGGAAAGTGGCAAAACACATCACGTTTTCATACTATCGTGGCAAGAAGAAGCATTTTGTCAAGGTATTTTGATAATGCAAGATAAGTTAACTGTTTTGTCTCGAGCGAAAATTTAGTCTCCAGCAAGGGCTGGCTCAATTCTCCGCGGTGTTTGAGGCTACTGCTCCCTCAGACACCGGCAGGTCAGTGGCAGCTGCCACCGGAAGTGCTACTACTATCTACCGCTGCCACGAATAGAGCCAGCCCTTTCTCAAATTTAGATGCATAACGTTATTCCTTTATTGTACTGCATTTTGATTACCGTAACTGATGTTCATTAAACACAACAGAGAACAAACGTTACCAGAGCAGTGGATTCTCTCCATGGCTCTAAGCTCCTGTTAGTAAGTACAGTCCAAGTTCTAAAACAGACTAACTAGTCTTTCTTTCTTTCAAACTTTTACATTTAGTCATGCCATTGACACGGGGTAAGAGACAAACTAAGTCGAAACAAACCAGCAACCCACCAGATGATGACATGCTGCAGTCTGGTAATGAAGGTGACTTAGTTTTTTATGGAAAAGGATGTAAATACTACAAAAGTATTTTATGTTTAGCTTTTGGTTGCAGGAAGGGTTTTTCCTGGCTCAAAAGGGGTAATTGGTGCTGCCCCTGTCACGAGGGGTAGTGCCCTCGGTTGGCATTTACTGACCTGTACTATCCAGTATATCCAGGCATGGTCTGAAAATAATAGAATAATAATACACAACTAGAAAATTCCTAAAGCAATTTTGATTGTGCCTTGCTCTGGCCCATATGTTAATACCATGTCTACGTGCTAACCGCTAGCTCTGTGCTAATCGCTAGCTAAGTGCTAACCGCTAATCGCTAGCTAAGTGCTAGCTTTGGTTAATGTGTTTAATTGTATTATGCTCCTGAAGGAGTGCTAATGTAAATGAAGGAACAGCTCATAGTAGGGTAAAATATTTAAGGTGTATTGAACTTATTTTGTGTAAATATTAAAATCATTCAGCTTTAAATTGTTTGCTTGTTAGCCACCTTCTAATTAACTTTAGCTAGCCAGCTAGCGCTAGATTATTAATGCCATGTAATCCTCCCTATAGCATATTGATAACCTGTCATCCTCCTTAGCTAGCGCTAGCATATTAATGTCATGTCATCCTCCTTAGCCAGCTAGCTAAAGCTAGCACACATAAACACATAAACCAAAGCTAGCACTTAGCTACGTGCTAATCGCTAGCTAACCGCTAATCGCTAGCTACGTGCTAATCGCTAGCTAACCGCTAATCGCTAGCTAACCGCTAGCTACATGCTAATCGCTAGCTAAGCGCTAATCGCTAGCTAAGTGCTAGCTTTGGTTAATGTGTTTAATTGTATTATGCTCCTGAAGGAGTGCTAATGTAAATTAAGGAACAGCTCATAGTAGGGTAAAATATTTAAGGTGTATTGTTCTTATTTTGTGTTAATATTAAAATCATTCAGCTTTAAATTGTTTGTTTGTTAGCCACCTGCTAATTATCTTTAGCTAGCCAGCTAGCGCTAGCTTATTAATGTCTTGTCATTCTCTGTAGCTAGCTGTGTGTGTGTGTGTGTGTGTGTGTGTGTGTGTGTGAGCAGGCTTTGGTTGTCATGGCAATCAGGGGAGCCCACAGCAGCTGCGCGCTCTCTCTCTGTCTCTAACTCCTCAGAGAGACAGAAAACAATTAAAACGAATCCCCTCAAAAGGATGGCCAGGAACGACCGAAATGAAAACCGAAAACACCGTGGGCGTCGTCATCTTGTTGACTATAGCGCTACCGAGTTTCAGTGGCTAAAGTTAAAAAATGTGACCTGGGGAGATTGAGAGAGAAGAGGTTCAACGAGCATCTTTCAGGATTTGTCCTCTAAAATTAACATGGGAGTAGATGGGGCCGTGAGAGGGAGTTGTTGGCGCATCAGTGCGTTTCCCGCCAAAACTATTTGTCTGACAGCTTCAGCAGTAGTATCACTGCGACCCCAACGGATTTACCTACGTTTCTATCTATAAATTATTTCTGTAGAGTGAGATTTGTGGCCATGACAGCAGTTTACAAATTTATTTTTCGACAAATTTTTCCCTTCTCCCCACACTCTAGCGATGATGTCACGCACTCTGGCGGTTTTTTTCAGTTGGAGGTTCTCGCAATACACACCCATTCATTTTTTGGACCGGTTTTTGGCGATTTACCGGCAAACCGTTTGGCGAAACGCTTAGAAAAGTCATAGCACACCATTCCCGGCCGAGCCGCACGTTTTGATACCTTTTTTGTGTATGTGCGAAAAGCTGCGGGAGAAGAAGCGCCCAAAACGTACGGAAGAATAATAATAAGTATGGGGAAGAGTAGTATTGTGCTTGCTTATGCAAGGCACAATAATAATAGAATATAATATACTGCAAGTAAAAACATTAAGTGTATAATGGCCGCCCGGTGTAAACCTTTTATCATGCACACTCCTCTGGTTGATAATTAAAACAGGTTTTGGAAATACACTAACAGCGAGCACCTGCCCTTGTCTTTGCATCTTTTTTAGTGGAAGAGATTGCACAGCCATCTGCTCCAACCACTGCCCCAACCATGGCTAAGTTTAAGGAGGATTATAGATTGCTAAAAGAGGAGAACCGCCTTCTGAAAGAGGAGAACCGACTTCTGAAAGAGGAGCGGGATTTCCTTAGGCAGAAAGGTCTCAACCCAGTGAAGACCAGACCCTCAACATCTTCAAAAGGTATCCAGACAGTGTTCTTCCCAAAAACAACATGGAAAGCTATTTCTATAGTCTAAATGAGTTTTGTATCCATATCATACAAATAATATAAATATGCTACAATAAGATAATTTTTTTCAAGCGCAAAATCAGAAAAGATAATTATTAGAAAAAATAATTATTTCATCATTTTTGTTACTCTGTTTAAGGGTCCGACAAAAGGAGGCGCATGGATTCCTCAGACTCTTCAACATCTGACTCTGAGTCAGACTCCTCCTCTGAAGAAGAAAAGAGGAATAAGAAGAAGAGAAAGAATAAGAAGAAGGAAAACCCTGCAAAATTTGGAAAAAGAGGTAACTTTCATCATTATGAAAAGGATAGCTCACAATCATCTTATATTATACAGTCATATTAGGCTTGTACGTTATCATAGTTCAGGGTATTGCCAAGGGCAGGGTATCGTGAACAACTATGATGCAAGCTGATTTTCAATATTGACCATGTCCTACACAGAATTTAGTACGATTGCTATTTGTTATAAACACTGTATATTAGTTAAACAGAACAAGAACAATTAAGGCCCACAGAGATCTTCAAAGTAAAGTCAGAAATGTTTTAAACCCACAGTTTTTGAATGCAAATTATTATTTTTTTAAAACTTCAAATGGCCTTTTCTGTTTTATATTTTTCCGATTTCTTGTGTTGATCCGGGACCATCTGTATTGATATGTGCTTCAGTATGGAGTCGGTGGGTGGCTAATAGCTTTTCGCATGAAGCCTTCAGATTATTGTACATGTTCCAGGTGACAAAAATGGACCTAGTTTAGTCTATGGAACATTTTCATCTCAGTGTTACAATCTTTTATATTCATAAAGCATAGGGTTAGTTCAGGCAGGCCACAACGACACGCTCTATATCAGCTGTCAGCAGCAAGCAAGCCTAGCCCCATCAGCTGATCACTCAGCTGACTTCACCAATGCTCCTATTGGCTAAACACTTTCAAAGCTCAGTATTTAAACTGCTCTCGCCTGGCTTCTCTTGCTTCTTCCTCCACTAGCTGACTTCAACCCATCGCCGCCCCCAGCTCCCCCTGTTGTGCTTTCCGCCTGTTCATTGTCATTGCTGCTGTCTGCTCTGTCTGGGTTTTGCTGCTGCACTCCCTGCTTATAGTTTCAATGTATCACCCTCATGTGTTGACTGATTTTCTTTGGGGAGAAGTTCAGTGCCAGCGTGCACACACGCAATAGGCTGGGCCTATCATAAAGCACTATTTATTGAATTAATCACTTTTATAACAGTAGAGTGAAGGAGAGGAGTGCAGAGACTAGATTATGTACGTTATTTACCTCTCTAACTCTAGAATGTCCTGTTATGTAAAACCAAGATTATTAATGTTTGTGTGATTATGATATAATGTTAATAGATCATATTTTATAATCTGTCTTGTAGTTCAGGGTCCAGAGGACGTCGTACACCGATACAGAGCTGTTCTAAAAGAATTTCGGTGTACAAGGAGCATCAGCCTCAGCTGTGAAACGCTGAGTGTTGACAGAAATACAATCGCCTTAATGGCAATCATTGCAGAGGTGTGGATTGCTGCAGAGGGTGAAGATTTCGGGCTGCTGCCAGAGTTCACTGAGGAGGACACTTTAGGAAACTACGCCAAAACCTGCAAGACCTTCCTGGAGGGTAACAACCCGCTTGAAGAAAAAATTTAACAAATGAAAAAAAAGTCTGAGCTGCTACCCATAAAATGCAAATTTAGGAAGTGAGGGTTCACATTACTACTTTCCCTATGGTAGGGAGTTGAAGGGTAGAAGGGTTGTTGAAAGGTAATATGTTTTTGAGTTTGTCTTTGCCTACTTTCCAGTCGTAAAGCTTGTGTACGGCAGCATACTTTATTTCAGATTTTAAACATTTTGAAGAGTTCTGTTTTTGTTTTTCTGTTTAAGTGTTGTCTTTGAACCCCGAATCTTTAGTAATAAGTATATATTACTTAACAATGTTCATGGTAACTTTGGTACATCTTGTTACTTTCCACTGTGCCTTTGTTATATCTTGGTATTAAACATTCCTTTTTGTGTGGTACAGTTGCATCTTACTCAGTGGGTAATTTGGCATGTTTTACTTAGTAATGTTGTGGTTTGTGTTTGTGTTGATTGCATGGAAAAAGGGCATAATCTATTACAAATTATATGGCAAGAGCCTGTTAATAGCATGGAAACAAGCAGGGCTTCCTTTTACAGAACAGGTTCATCTTACTAACTGGGTAATTTGTCACGTTTTACTTAGTAATGTTGTAGAACATGAATGATACAAATTAATTTAATTGCATAGACAATGGAATATTCTATTACTAAGAATTTAGTAAGAACATAGTAATAGCATGGAAACAAGCAAGGCTTCCTTTTACAGTACAGTTTCAGCGTACATGTTGGGTAAGTTCTAAAACCATATGCAAGAACGTACCCAATATTTAAGAAGATATACTGGGCCACGGCAGCAGAGGAAAACCATTCCTGCAGAGGATGATAACAGGTAAATACGGGAAAAAATGTTCAACTTAAATAGAAACAATTCCATATTTTATACAATTATATCTGAGTAATTACCAACCTAAACCTGTTAACTACATGGTACTCAGTGGAAAAGATGGGCAGTAGTGGAGATTTTTTTCTTCGTGTTTCAGTTGTAGTTTCTCAGTATTAACTTACTTGTTACCAGCAGTAATTACCCAATAATACAGTGTAATTTCAGTATATTTTACCAGGTAAATACTTTGTACTTTGACTGTAGTTTCCCTGTATTGACCTTCTTTTACTAGTGTAAATTACACAAGAACATTCTATGTTTTACCGGGTTACTACCTGGTAATCAGTGCACTGTAAAATATTTTACCAGATAAATACTTTGTACTTCAGCTGTAGTTTCCATGTATTTACCTTCTTATACTGGTGGTAATTATACAAGAAGATGCTATGAATTACCATATATTTACCTGGTAAATACCTGGTAATTAGGGGACTGTAAAAGGAAGGGTTACCGGATATTCCTAATTAGGCCTTATTCCGACTGAAGCATTTTCCGATTAAAACACAGTATAAAGTTTATGGTAAGCTCTGGAAAAAAAGGTTGAGTTGAGATGCATGCATGCATGCATGCAAAAAAAAAAAAAAAAAACAGGCCACATTTCTGTACAGAAGGAGAAACATGCCTACTTTTAAACATTATGAAAGACTTGAGAAGACTTGGATACCAGAAGGTTTACAAATATGCACTAATATCAAAACGCCAATAATATACAGCACAAAGCTTGCAGATGAAGTACTAAACACATCCCCTGCAAGAGTTGCACAGTAATATGGGCAGAAACATATTAGAAATACGACTACAAGAATACCAAGAGTCCTGGCTGCTTTCAGCTCAGATTTTTTTGTAGTTAGAGTCACTTTTGTCTTACATCTTTACAACAAAAAACACTGTCCTTTACTGTCTTATCTTTGATTCACGTTCAGTTCTGCATCTTTTAAGGGATTTTCTTTCCAGTTGATCTTTACTGTTTGATTAATAATTGTTCTTTAATGTTTAATTAAACAAAGGCACAATAAAGCTACATTTCTGATTGAGTCCTTGGATGTTACTACTGTTTTAGGTTAGACTTATTTTATCTGAGCAATTCCCACATGCTTTCAGAGTACATGAATTCAGTATATGGCAAGAGGAGAGATTCAGAGGAAGGACTAGTGACATGGGATTTTCAGCATCAAGTTTTCAATAACATGAACTGTTTTAATGCAATTATATAGTATAACATCCAACTTTACACAGGTTGAATGATTTAGCAAACCACATTTCATAGTGATATACTGTATATCAGATGAACAAGCCAACGTCAAAACGTATGTAACATGTAAAGAAAAGACTTAAATAAAGTAAAAGTATCTCAAATTTGTACTTAATTACAGTACTTGAGTTAAAGCACTGCATTACATTCCACCACTGGTGACACATTGACACAAAGGCATATGCAAAGCACCCAGTAGATTCAAATGACTATAATTAGGATTATGACCAAATAATATATATATATATTACCGCCCCCCACACAGACACACGGGCATGGGCCTGCAATCTACAAGTGCATGACCATAAAGTAGATTTTTTGGAGGATGTGGTGGCATATTAGAGGTTTGCTGCCTGTTGAAGAATGCTCTTTATTATTATTTATGTGGTGCATCACTTGACTGTATTCTTTAAATATGTGTTAGTGTTAGGCAACATGGGCCAAGTGAGTGCCCTGCTGTGGGTGTATGCGATGTTGGCATGTCCGTGGCGAGAGGACCATTGTCTCATAATCTGCCTATAGGTAAAATAAGGTCTACACTAGCCCAGATCCCAAATGATGAATGTGATTAGGAAAAACATCAATACCTTGAAGGTTCTACCAAACATATAAGCAAAAAATCCAAAAACTTGAGTTCATCCAGGCTGGAGTCTCAAATGGTCTCAGAAACTACACCTGAAAGAGGCTGGCACCAAACAGAGGTGAGAATTAAACTTTGTCCTAGAACAAAATTAAAGACATTATTGGAAAGGCCTCGTCCTGGTGAGTAACATATGTCAGTTTGAAGATTTTAAGTGTCTCCTACTGTGAAATATATTGACCTCTGAACCTTGACCTCAGTGCATATTGGAAGGCTTGTCATTCAGCAACAGAAGAGGCTACAGACATGGGACCAACTGTTTTAGAAAGCTCTTGACTTCAGCTGTGTGACTATATTCATATAAATATAGTCACCAAGTGGGGGCACTGTCATGTATGATCAAAATGAATTTTCACCAATTTAACAATTGCATATTTACAATCTGATCACATAAATGTGTTTCCCACCCCTTTAAATCTATCAGTATAGTGTTAATTTAATATTTACAATTTCCATTTTGTACCATTAAAAACAAAAACTACAATTCCCTTGTGCAGCTTGATACAAATAAGCACCATGTTTGTAGTTCTTCTGGTTTGCAAAGTATTGTTAAGAATAGGGTAGTAAAAAGATATATTTAATGAATATATTGAACATTAAGTGCAGCCGAATTAGTAATTACACTCCATCTATGTGATTAATTTTAAGAAAAAGTAAAGATGTTGGCTTATGTCAGATATACTAACTGTTATTCTATAAATGTGGATTTGGGTTAGCTAGTTCTTCCGGTTTTCAAAGTAGGGTTGTAAAATAGGGTCATAATATCATACATCTATTGAATATATCAAACATTTAGTGCAGCCGAATTAGTAATTACACTTCATCTAGATGATTGATATTAAAAAAAAGTTAATATGTTTATTTCACATAGTTTTACAGCCGCTTCATATATTTTTTTTCTGTTTTCTTTTTTGACTTCTTTTTTAATTTACATATATACATATTTTTAAATTCTCTTTACTGAAATACTGTTTCTTATGTTTTATGATTTAAAGTGCAAGCGACGAGAAGTGACGTCATTCACCACGTCTCGTTCGCGGTACTTGGTAACGCGGGTACTGTCCTCGCGCGGGAAACGGAGAGAAACACAGGTTTAGAAAATCTTTAGTAGAAGGAAGAAGCAGGTAAGAAACACAGTTAATGTTTTGAGTGTGTACCTACAAATGTAAACTATAAAACAATATAGTTTGTATATTTACAGATGCAGCAATATTACTTTTGTGCTACACACAGGTATAACACATTAAAAACATTTCAATGTAACATCAGCATTTAGCTAATGCATGCTATGTTATGCACATTATGCTGGTCAACGGGAAATTGGTGTGTGCTATCGAGATTGCTAGCTGTATTTAGACAGCCCTTGCAGTCAATTGTAACTTAGTTCTTTTTATGTGTCACACTCTTATTTGCTTTTCCATTCATCTTGCTCTCAAAGTCATGACGAAGCCCAAAGCAAGAAGCTGTCCCTATTGTGGAGCAAGCATCATGCCAATCAGAAGACCTGTGCCAGCTGCTGTGTTTGCCTCCTGCAAAAAAAGTCATTCAAAGAAAAAGAAAAGGCAGTGAGTATTGACTTTGATGTGTTGTGTGTGCGCATCCATTGTATTCATTAAAGGTTGTTGAACATAATGCCGCCACTTTATATGAGCCACCCCTAACCTTAAATTTAGCTAAAGATTCAAAATCAGTTGGCTCATTATTGACATATGGGCTTGTGGTCCAAATAGCATTTTTTTTCTGATCAATAGCACATTTTTCACCAATGAGGAGAGAGCTAGGCCCGGTTCCAGAACCAAATGACTTCAGGTGCATCTCAAATTAGTGGTGGTACCCTAGTAGTTACAGTGCGAGCTGCCAACAGCTATTAAAGTAGAATAGTGTATGATGATCCAGAGTTGGGTCCCAGATAAACAGATTATGCTGAACACAGACGAATAAAGTTGTAGACAGCAGTAAGTTAAACAGGGTGTCAGTCATTTTCAGCAACAGTTTGCTTTACGAGTCAGAAGGACACCCATACCCTCAAACTCCAGTCCTCAGAGGAATCATGGCTAAATACTGTGACCAGTGCAGTGCAAACACAGTTGTATATCATTAATTACTAAACTATGTGACCATGTATGAGGTGGGATACATTCGAATTCCAAATAAAACAGTCTTTGTCCGAAATAATCATATAATCAATCAGTTTATATATTATTATATTAACTATTTATGGGAAAATCATACTT